CTGCACAGGTACATCAAATTATTTCAGCCGGTTGCAAGCATCTAGGTAGTCGCGTAGGTCTGTTCAAATTTCAAACATTTCCCTTTTGCTCGGACATACGGGAAACAGGAATGGCAAGGTAGTGAGAGCGTTGGCAGTCTTCCTCCCACCAACATTCCAAAAAGTTGGGAAAGAAGAGCCACTTAATTCCAACTACAAGATTGTTAATGCATACAAAAATGTACCGTATGATTGCAATGGAACAAAGGCAGTTTGATTTTGGTGAGTGTAGTCCTGAGAAGGACTGTAGTCGGTAGTGGTGACTGACGTTTCGACAAACTGAGCAGAAATCATCATCTGAGTCAATGATTGTTGTCATTCGAATGTTCTTTGTCTGGTTCATATTAACTGATTGGTAAGTTTTGCTGTCATGTTATTGGCTGTAAGATTCAAGTGTCGCAATTGGTTATTTTTGATCCGTTGGTAATGTTTGGCTTGTCTGTTTGGTTAGTTTGTGATGTTGACATGGTGAATAAGTCTTTTCATTGTGCCAGTAGTTAAATTGACACCTGACGAGGGGAGTCTGTTCTTACATGTTGTTAGGAAACCAGCTTTCTAGAGTCAGTTCTTAACAGAAGTTAGTGCTATAGGTTAGGAATTACACAGAGTCCCAGTCAATAGTGTAAATTGTAAGTCAATGATGCTCAGCAATTAGACTGCTGACATCAAACCATGTACTTTTAAATTAACAACTGGTTCATACATCAGCATGTGTTCATCAAGATATGAAGCACACAGGAAGTTTGGAGAGCATGAAAGATGCATAAGAGTTGCTCAAGGTGTAGCCGTAGCTGACATATGAACCAATTGTTTTATAACATTTTCAACCCGATGGTTTAAATGTTGTAAAAGGGTTAATATTCCCTCTGCTATGCTTCAGCACGTTGATAATTTTGTTTCAGGAAAACATTTCGCTGCACTGTAAACAATCTTGTTTCCATGTTTAGCTTAAATTGCTGGCAAAGTCTTAACCAGTTTTTTAATGGTAAAATCCCAGAGTAAAAATTGCAGAGAAAATTTTTTTTTTCTTGAGGGATTTGTTTGCTGACATCATAAGCATGCACAACAGGAATATGAAACACACTCACGCAATTGAATTTGATCAGACAAATTTACTAGCTATGTTATGGTGTATTTTATAATGCTAGCACAGTCTCAGGTGGAGCATAAGCCACTTATAAATCCATTCTGTTCTAAAACAGTCCTATTCGCAGAGGTAGTCTATTGCTTTTGGCATTGAATTGTTATATCAAAGAACTGGATACATACTTAAGTAAGGGGTCATACAGAAATTTTGTCCAGTAATGTCAATCTTTGTAAATAATAGCTTAAAGGTAAAATAAGTGTTTTTGGATATGCATTAATTTGGGCAAGGGTTTGATGATGAAGTGCTTGAAAAAAGATAAAATTATGCAATAGACTGCACTTTCTTTTGGTTTACCACTGTGATAACCAACACAGGATGATGGAGAACTGGTATCTAGCTTGTGATTTACAAACCTTTCTAGTGTTCTCCTAACATCCCAATTGGTTTATTATGCCAGTTAACTGATGGAAAGTGCTGTTTATTGCTTTTTTATTTTAATCAATCTAAAGCAAAAGAATTTACTATGGGTTTACCAGTGCAATGAGCAATAGATTTCCAACCAATCCGGGTGCTTGTCACATATCAATCATTTTCTAATATCAAATGTACTTTAAAAAAGCTCTAAATTTATAAAAAGTTGTAAGTTTTTATTTTGATTTGTTTTAGTTGTTTGTGTGAAGGAGGGCAGGGGTGAGACTGAATGTTGAGGGGGATTTGTGTAAACATGTCACATTTTAAACCAAAATTTGGTGACTTTTACAGTTAGGGTTATTCTGCAATACATGTGTCTCATGAGGGCAAGTTAAAGTTATAAGCTCACAATTGTTTATCCCACTGGCCATGTTTGATTTGGAGTCAAAGTGGATGGTGAGGGTAGGGGGCAGGGGAAGGTAGTATTCACTCCTCCATCCCCAGCCTTCTCCTTATTTTTGACTGTCTTGGTACAAATTTCTTTCTCTCCCCAGCCTTCTGCTTCCATTGAAATCAAAGATAGCAGCCACAATTTTTGCTAAGAAAATACTGAGCACTCACTTGCCAAAATTAAACCTGTTCTGCGGGCTAAGTTAGGGTGGTTATGCAGTTTTATACTCACCACGAACAAACTGCATTTATTTTACACTATAGGTGATATGTTAGATGAAGTGACAGCAATTGTGGATGGTTACAATGCTTATTTTAGCTTCTCAAAAGTGAAGACTGGATACTCTGGTATGTAAAAGATAGCAATTTTGTCCCTCCTCACCAATTTTGGTTGTGCTTTTGAAAATCAAACTGTAACGTACAGCTTTTGAGCTTATGCAAGCCGACTTGTGCCACTAAACTTAAGAGCTAGCTCTCGTTTTTGCTCATTTTATAGTATAAGGAGTGAAGGAGGTCAGTGTAGGATGTGGTATTTTGTATTTTCTGATTGTCTCATAGGAGACTGGTCTTGGGATTAAAACATTCAGGTCTGACCCTTGCTGCATGTAGATTCACTTTTAAAATTAATTTAATAATGCAGTGATTATTCATGATGGCCCAGTTCATCTTTAAGCTGGTTTAAATGGGGGTCTTTTGTGATTTTCTATGGAAGGCACATAATTTCTCACATTTTCTCCCCTGACAAGGATATTTTAGGATTGATCTTCGGCAAACTTGCAGGAACACCTGGTCCCATTTCTTTGAATAGATTATGCTATTCTCTGGATAATCTCTGTCTTGTTGATAGTGCAACATGGTATATTGACACTAATGTAGCACATCTATAATTTTTGGCGCAACCCCATTGGCTACTTTCCATTAACAAAATCCTTGGACAATTATCAGGCCATAACCCCCATTTACATTGATATTTATCCTCCAATTATTTCCATGGGAAAGCAACTAACCCAGCAGAAAAAAACCAGCTCATGAGTTTCACCTTTATTGTTTTAAGTGGAAGAAAACAAACTTGTTTTGTGGATTCCACCAGTAGTGACATTAGAAAGCTTATCTCAAATGCTGCTCTGGAAAGTGCACAAACAATCAGTAAAATTTTGCTGTCAACACGCAAAGCAAAATTTAATGAAGGTGTTATAAAATAATAAAACCCCTCTCAGGCAGCTGGTATGTGGGCTGACAATGTCCTTGGCTGAGAGATTATCGTCAAAATTTCACATTTTTTCCCTCAAAGCTTCACTTCTCTGCCAAATATTTATTTTTCCAACAATACCTCAGCCACTTACAGTACATTATCATGTGACATACCAGCTGCCTGAAGGGGTTTATTTACTAATTATACACTGGATAGCAACTTATTCTTGGGATAGTGTTATTCACCTTTCAAAGGACATTAGGCCTTGGTGGATTACTCTAAATTGACGAGCACTGTATCTTTTCTGGGGGTGAGGAGAGTGGGGGAAGAAAAGAATAAACTCCCATTGCTGTGGAACTCTTGCCTTGCATGTGGATTCACCTTTGGTTCTTTGCAAAGCATAAAAGTTCCATTTTGAATGGATGATGTTACTCTTTTAATGTATACAAGGTTATGTTACACCTCAATTCTCTTGAATAGCATAGAGAGGAAATGTATGCATAAATGAGTTTCCAGATCTTAAGAATGCACTGTTTGTAATTTTAGCTAACTGTGGGTGTTTTTTCCACAGGAGTTGCAACATTTTGCTGCGACGCAGTGACACCTAAAGCTGCTGAGGAGGGTCTCTCGTCTTGCCTTACTCCTCAGCCATCTATTGCCTGTTACGGCAGTAACACTGACTTCACACCTGATGAGCTAGAAGCTCTGGATAATGAGGGTCGTGCCATACTCACAGAACATACTCTCCCTGAGGGCAAGTCAGTTGTTATTATTAATGTGTACTGTCCCAGAGCTGACAAGGAGAAAAAGGAAAGAGTGGATTTTAAAATGAACTTTTATAAATTGCTGCAGGAGAGAGCTGAATCCCTTGTCAATGCAGGAAGGTACAGAAACTGTATGTTTCTTTTGTTTGGCTTTTTTGTCTTTAATATTTGCATTTAATAAATAAAAAAGCTGTGCCTCAATTTAATGAAGGGGATAAGTTTCTAAGAGAACTGTGGTGCTGCATTGGTGGGAGAGTATAACAGGGTACTTTATGTTCTCAACTGAGTTAAAAGTATAAATTGGCCTCTGTAAAGAGTTTCAAAGCTGATGTTTTGAGTGTTAGCCCTTTTTTATCTAGAGTGAAGGGTTATAGTGGCCAATTAGTGTTATCAATTTAGTCAACAATACTAAACTACCCAGTTATGCCTCAATGAAGGTGTGGAAATTAAACATTGTTTTACTTTTTGAAGGGATTGGTTAGCTAATGGCTATTGGCTTTTGTCAAACTGGCATTGGCAATTTCAGTGCTAATCATGTGTGCCTTAACCCTTTAACTCCCAAGATCTGATTGTTAATTCTCCCCTCTAGCTGCTACACATTTCCTTGTAAATTAGTGATGAGAACTTGGTGGTAGATCAAGATAGCAGCTTCTACCTGATAAGTTTGAATATTCTCATCGCCTGTTTGCTGAAGAATGTATGCTTATAGCAGGGAGAAATTTTATGTTCATCACTTCTGGGAGTTGAAGGGTTAATCAACTTGTAGTTAATAACCAACTTGCTGTTTCTCTTGCCTGTCAGTGGAGCCCAACAGTATCTTTAGGAAAGAATATTTTTGTTAAATTACCCTAGAAACCAACCTGTCACTTTATACCAAGCTGGTAAGAGAGGAGCATGAGCCTCAAGATACATCTACAGATGTATTTACCATACTGAAATGTCAAGATTTGACCTTCCTCAGTTATTTGTTTTTCTTTTCAATGTAGGCACGTCATTGTTCTTGGTGACATTAACACATCACATAAAATGATAGATCATTGTGATCCTGATAAAGAGGTAAATATTTTGGCCATACTTTAATTTTTTTCCCCTTCTCTAATAATAAACATAAAAATTTCATTTTCCATTTGTTTTGTTTTTTGGGAGATTTAATAGCCTTAGGGTCACAGCTAGTATGTCAGACTTGTCCAATGGGCACAAGCAGCTTCTCCTTCATGCGAGGTCATGAGGTCTTGCTGCAAGACCAGGCTGCTCACTGTGTTGTGTTTTTAGGGTAGACACTTAACTCTCCCATTTCCTCATTCTACCCAGCAGAATAAATGGGTTTAGGCCAAATTTCAGGGAAAGTGGTGGAAATGCTTGGGGGTAACCTGCCATGGACCAACAACATCCAGTGGGAAAAGCAACAATCTTAGTAACTTCATGCAATGAACAAGCTTTGGTAGAGTGGCCCACTCTGCTCGAATGCTGACCCAATGTCACTGTTTTTACCATATGATTTGATTATTGATAATGAAATGGTTCATCATGTGACATAGATTCATCCATATGTCGTCATTGGTCCAATTTTTTAAAAATTTTGTTTTACTATAAATTTGAATTCATTAAAAAAATCATTACAATCCTTTCTTTTTAACCCGATCAGGGTGTTGCCCAGAAATATGGAAGAACGTCTCCAACCCACATGTTACCTTTCTGCTAACACAAAAGGTCTTAAAAGAGAAGGATAATTGTGTGATCTTACAAATCTACATGTAGATGTTTTTACTCTTTCCTCAGGAACTGTTCAATGCTCATCCTGGACGAAAGTGGTTGGATCAGTTTTTGGTTCCATGTGAAGTTAACGGCGCTAATCCAGACCATGACACAGGTGATCCTCTCCAAGCACAAGGTGGGCTTTTTGTAGACTCATTCCGTTATTTTCACCCTTCCCAGCGTGACGCTTACACCAATTGGTGCACGGTGACCAGTGCGCGTCAAACCAATTACGGTACAAGAATTGATTACATTTTTGCCGATAAAGAACTTGTTGATAAAGAATTCCTAAACTGTGAGATACTGGCCGATGTCGAGGGCTCAGATCACTGTCCAGTTGTAGCAACTTTGAAGACTTCTTTTCAAGCTGCATTGAAACCTCCTTCCCTTTGTACGAAGTTTATGCCAGAATTTTCTGGGAAACAACAGAAACTTAAGTCTTACTTTTTGAAACATGGACAACAGTCGCAGAGTCAACCCGAGGCTTGTTCTACGGACTTAAGTGTTACACAGGAAACAAAGACGTCCTTAAAACGGAGTGCCTCTTGCGGTGATGTCAAAAGCAAATCTGTAAAACGTCAAAAATCTGCCGGAGGGAAAAACAAAGCTGAAGGACAGCCAAAGACAAATCTGTTTAGTTTCTTTAAAAGGTCTACAGACCCGGTTGCAGTCAATAAGAGTGTTACCGAGGTAACTAACGAAGCGTTTGATTTAGTTAAGACTACTCCTTCCGAGTTTGAACAGTACGCAGGCGCGGATAACGTCTCTTCACTCTCAAATACCTCCGTTTCATCTTCAGACGCGGCTTTAAATGTTTCTGAAAACGAACCTGTCCCTGAAAACGCATTGAGTCGCAAAGATTGCGCAGAGAAGCGTAAAGTGGATGCGGCAATTTGGAAAAGTATTCTCTCTGGGCCGCGTCCACCCCCTCTTTGTAGCGGTCACAAGGAGCCGTGCGTCCTAAGAACAGTGAAAATCAAAGGTCCAAATCAAGGGAGGCAGTTTCATTGTTGTGCCAGACCACAAGGACACAGCTCCAATCCTGAAGCTCGTTGCAATTTCTTTAAATGGGTGAAGTGGAGTTGATTTCGGAGGTTGTGTAAATATCATGGGGTGTTCCCACAAGAACATGAGAGCTTTAAACTGTCATTTTCCAAAAAAAATAAAATTTATCAGTCCTTCTTTAAACGAAACAAAGATTTCCAATGAACCTGTTTGAAAGAAATCGTCTGAATACACTTCTACTGGATTGAAGGAAACATCAAATGAGCATTTTGAAAGCAATTTTATCAATCAACTCTAATGGGGAATATGTGGTTAAAGTCCCATTTCCAAGCATATTCCTTGTTTAAAGTTTTCAGAGTTTGATCAGGTAACCAAAAATTATTTTCAATTGTGTATTGAACTGGAAAATGAAACTTGCATCTTCATATTTTCCTCCAATTTTTGTTTAAGAGGGGGGGGAAAGGGGAGGAGGGGTAGTTGTGAGTGCTCTTCTCCTTCATGCACTCCTCCAAGGAGATGAAACATGCGTGCGAAAGATCACAGTCAATTACTCAACAACTTTATCAATGTATATGTGTTATTGATTTAAGGGGGTAAGTTTTCAAAGAAGCTGTGGTGCTGCTCGGTGGGAGGGTATAACAAGATAATTTTGGTTTTATCAACTGAGTTGATAATGTAGATTGGCCACCGTAAAGAGTTTACAGGCTGACGTTTCGAGCGTTAGCCCTTCGTCAGAGCGAATGACGAAGGACCAATGCTCGAAACGTCGGCTTGTAAACTCTATACCGTGACTGATTTACATTATCAACTCAGTTAATGAATTAATGTGTGTTACTGTTTGTCAAAGGTGACCCCTCCTAAAGAGTAAATAGCACTTATGCAAAATGTCTATATGAACTTTTAAAACATCAAATCAGAGACTAATGAATAAAACAACTGTTGATATTCTCATTCAACCAAATTTTACGTGCAATTTTTTGCGTCTATTTTTTCCCTATGACTGAAGTCTTCATGATGCATAAGAACACCTTTTAACTGAGTGTCAAAAGTAATGCATAACTTCTCTCGTTTTGATCTACCTTGACTGGTGATTGGTCCAGAAATATCACAACATCCTCTCGACCAATCAGATCCAAAACTAAAATGTTTTCCTGGGCCTCGCACAGGTGCGGGTATAATTGGCAACTTGTACTGCTTTTCTTTTTTCTGATTGGCTGTTGAGATTAAGTTAATTTTTTACGACACTCAATTAAAGGGCACTCAATAAAGTACAACAGCACTGCTTATAGTAAACTTCTACTCAGCGAGGTATTCAAACATTCAGCAAAGCCTATGAATACAAAGATATTACTGGTTAAATACTGAATATCTACAAAAAAAAGGCAAAAAAACTTAAAATACACCGTAAACAAAGTAATGAAAAAATTCAGCAAAGACGTAATTGAGTAGTAGTCTGAAATATCTAAGTTTCGTCCAAAGTACAGAATCCTGAACCTGCGAAAATCTTAGGAAATCAAGTAGGTCATTTTTAACGCACTTTCAAAAGGTAATAAGAAATTCAAGGTAGCTTATAGATACAAGTACTACAAACTGATTGCTAAACATCCGAAATGTCTTCCATCAGCTTAAACGGTTCACTTGAAACCCGACGAAATTCACTATTATCTCATTTTTCTCTTCTTTCCTAATCAGCTAACAATTTACTTTAAACGCGACTAAAGTCCACTGTCTCGTGAAATCGACCAAGATAATATTTGGTTGTGGGTGATACGTGTTTTGCTTACCAAAATTAAACCCATCATTAGCTGGGTACATGTATAGCCTTGTAATCTTACATAGTAACGATACGAAGGGTTTAGGATCGATATTCCCATTATCCTCTCTGCTTACTGGTTGGCCTAAATTCTGTGGTAGTGATCCCCCTCCCTCCCGACAAGCCAAACTCTAGAGGTGATGTTATGAGAACTCGCACTAGGACTAGTATTGAAGTTCAAGGTTGAGGTGCGGTAGCTATCATTGGCTAACATTTGCAGGAACTAGGCCCCGTTCTAGCCTTTGCTATGCCTACTGAACTTAATAAAAATCTTAAAGAAAATGCGTGGAAAGCATTCTGATAACGTAATGAACGACATTGCTACTTACTGAATCAGCATTCATAAAGTGTCATTGAAGTTGTTGAGGATACTGAAATTTTTGAAAAATTTGAGGAATACCTTCCTAACAATGCCACTCTGTTTCCAACAGAGATTGCGTCAACAACTACAGAGCCGCGTACTTATTCGTTAACTACGCATAGAAATTTGGTACACACATTTGCACGTTGTTAGACGCATATATACGCGAACAAATGTACGCACATATAGGTATTATGCGCGTCTGATGTGTGTTTATTATTCGATACCATGATTTTTCCTTTGCGTTACCTTGTGTAAAAGAAAGAACGTTTGGGTCTGAAAATAAGGCGAGTCGACGTAGAATTTGCCTCTTGAAAAAGGCTGTCAAGTTACATGCATGCACGACGCATCGCTTCGGGTATTCATCGAATAACGAGCAGTAGCAACTTAATTGCTAGTCTTGTGTTTCGCACGAAGAGAAAGATACGGAGAGAAAGTACGGCTTTTAGCACATGCATTTCCACCGATTGTTTTCTAATTAATAATGGTAATAGGACTGAATTGTCTATAATCATACGAGTGATTAACAAAATAGGACGACCGCGAAGCGGGAGACCTATTTGTTCATCACAGGTATGATTACAGACAGAATCGGAAGACACGAAGTCCTGTTACAAAATAGTCAAAACCATGACAAAATTTGAGAAAGAAAATAGACATCGGTTATACGTTTTTAGTTAAAAAAAACTGTTAACTTGGTGAAATGCGTGACAACGCACGCACATGACGCGTTTTGTCCACTAACATAGGCACGACGTGTTTACTATCCCTTAAAATATCCTATTACACTGTCCAATTACAAGCATGACGCGTGCACTGTCCTATTAGTGCTCAAATCGGGCTGGTGATAACCAATCACGTTCGAGAATTTTGTTATAGTTTTGACTAAGAGCTAAGTGGTTGTAGTTAGACTTTTGGCTGCTGAGAGTGCTAAAACCTTTCTTTTGGCAGCTAAGCGTACATTCTGTGGAACTTGGATTGATAGTTTTGATACGTTTGGACACTTATCTCAACGTCTCCACACTTGTTCATCTCTTTCGGTGGTTGCAATTGACTTTGCTCGTGTGGAGCTTCATTGACAATCATTGCCATTCCCTCGAGCTGGTGTACCTCTATGTGGCAGTGAAGAAACCAGTTGCCAGGATTATCGGATAGAAAGTTGATAACAACGTACCCTCCAGCAGGGAGCATAACTGTGTCCTTTCTGATCGTATGGGAATCTATAGAAAAGCGCTTTTCTCGGTTCCATCTTGGTCTGGTACATCTCCTCTTATCGCAGTTCTGTTGTGTGCAGTGAACGTCATCGCAGTATATATCACTGGTGTGGTTTGTAATAAAACCAGTTTTTGGGTCATAATCTGGGTATCCGACATGAACGACATGGAAGGTATGGCCATGAAGGTGAATTGGATGAGCGTTGTGGAAAGCACCAATTGCTGAAAATACCAATTGAATAGTTTCCTTATGGGGAATAGTTATCACTTGCACACATGAGCACGCGGGTGTTGATGGGTTGCAGTCGGCTTTCAGGTCACAAATATTGTCCTTTTTGAGAAACTCTTCAGGTTGGGTTTGAGGAGGAAAGGAGGGAAGAATGAAATTGCGCCCATTCACTGCACTAGTTTGAGAGTCACCCTCAAAGTTGAAGTTGATGAAATGTCGACAATTTTGGCATTGCCCTGGGGTTTTAGGGTTTGCGTTCGGAAGCTCCGCTGGTGGAGTTGGCTCAAGTAAACGTAGGTCTTGAACATTAATACAGGTAATATGATAACGTGGATGGAAGTTTTTGAATGGGCAGTTTACTGCTTTGCATGGTTTGCAGGAGGAGCACTGTAGGGGAGGAGACCTTCTTTTTATATCTTCGTAATTTGTCGACGGCACATTAACATTGGGGTCGGCCGAGTCTCCATCCTGTTTGTAGTGCAAAATAGCTTCTGCCACATGTTCTAATGACTTGTATGGTGGCCCTTGGCCATTGTGATCAATCTCCAGAGTCTCTGCACGTATCCAGTAGTCTTTTCTTGTATGTTTTGCTTCAAGTAGAAAGTCAAACCTCTCTCCGGTGTGAATGATGATGTAATCAACGTTTTCTACAGGCTGGATCCAGTATCCATCAGTGCCCACCACAGTCAGCTTATGACCATCAATGGAGAATTTGTAGGCGTACAGATTTTGGGCTCCAATGAGCCGAAAGCGATACGTCTTACCGGCCTGAACAGTAAATATACTTAGTCTGGTTTTGATGTATGGAACATCATCATGCCTGCCTTTTCCATTTATAATTCCGGAAAAATACGGGACTGGCCCAACCTCTCCTTCTTCATAACTACGCGTGGAGTCATACCGCCGCTTTAAATCATCTTTAGTTGGCACCTCTCCCAGCGGCTTGCCTGGGTAAAAGCCCAAACTGGCGTGAATCTGTGTGAACAGGTCTAAGGATGCCTCATGTTGCCAGTCTAGAAGCGTTAAGGTGTGCTGGTCTGGAAGGTCTTCAAATGCACGGTACCTATGGAGTTTATCTCGAATCTGGGTCATTTTCTCAGGACTTTCTTTTACAACAAGTCCACCAAAGAAGCCATCTGTTCTTTGAGCGCCACTGTGAGAGTGGTACCAAAACGTGCCGGCAGGTTCAGCTTTGTAAACGTATGTGAAGGTCGATGATGGTCCTATCTGACATTGAGTTACTTGCCCCACACCATCCATCCAAGGTGTCCCTCTCTGATGCATCCCATGCCAGTGAATTGAAATACCTTCAGTGGTGAGATTATTGTGAACATGCACCTCAACAGTTTGCCCTTCGTGAACAATCAAGGTAGGTCCAGGAATTAGTCCATTGACGGCTATTGCCAAACGATACGTTTTGCCATCAACAAATTGGGGATAAGTGCACTTGGCGCTGTCTTGTGTTGAACATGTTCTGTCATCCTGGAGTGGTGTGGGAGACCCATCGTTGTCAAGATAATAAATCACTCCCTGAGATCCTCGCATCGCAACCCCTGTGGGCTCATCCACTGACAACTTTTGATAGCTGGTGAAGGTTCGAATTTCGTCAATTTCAAGATTAAATTTACAGACCTTTGCGTGTGCCATGCATTCGCACGTTGGATTTCCGTATTCACAATTGAGGGTCTCTTGATGTACCCATGTTAGTTTGATTTCTTTTGAATCGTACCCTCTAAGCCACTTGTTAAGGTGTGGATCATTTGTCAGATCCATGTACTGTTCCACACCAGTCTTAGCAGAGGTGCGAATGGATGATATGTACCAATCTTCGTATTTGTTACTACTAGCCTTTAAGTGGATTTCCTTAATGTCAGATAACGACACGCAGTTTGTGGTTCCAAACCGGGCTGCAAAGTTTAGCTCTCGCACATAGGATTGCCCTCGATACATGGGTCCTTCAAGTTCGGCCTGATATTTTTGGTTGTTTGATAAAGTGAGAACTATCATGTGACTTTTATACTTAGTGTACGACGTTGAAGATTCAGCTCCATACATGTGTCCCGTCACTGCGTTTACACGTATATATGTGATACAGGATCCTGCGACAGCATTGGTAAGGAGGAGCTTTCTGGCATTGTAAGGGTAAAGGTGTTCTTCATTGATGTCCACCCACATACTAAAGCCTGGATCAGTGGTCAGCTCAGTGAAGATTTTGTTTGATCCTGCGGTGTAGGTGTTGATCGATGCAACGTACCATCCATCCCCTCCTTGAGCCTCGAGATAAACTTTGTCTATGTCTCCGTGGGTGCAGGCAAGTCGCGGTTTGAAAGCAGTTTTTCCCAAT